TACTTTACTACTTACTTATTTTACTTTTCGTATTATTTTGTTAAAAAAGGGATTTTTTTTTTTCAAATTTCACCAAATATTTTTTTTAAAAGCAAAAGTTTACGAAATGTTCACAGAATGTTTAACCATTATTTTTAATTTAAAATACTAGTATTTTTGATTTCTTTCAACTAATTTAAATACAACAAAGAACCTTTTTAATGACAAAATTATCATTTTTGAAATGAATATTTAAATAATATGAATCGTATAAATAAGAGAAGACCTCCGTAAAATACATTTTAATCAGCACTGGTTGAAAGTCAACTGGTTGCTGACAATTACTATGCCATTTAGCAAAATTTATAAAAAATGAAATTCATGAAAATATTGGCTATTCTTAAGTTTTACATTGAAGCTTTAGTTTTATTTTATCTAAATGTCCGATTAAAGGAAGACTTTTTTTTTAATTAAGCATGATTTTTTTTACTTCCTTTAAAAATCATCTATCAATAATATGTAATTATAATACTGAAAATTTGATAAAAGCCACTGCCTTTAGCTTATATAAACGAAAAAACAACAACTATAGTTTCTTTATGAAAAAAAGCAAAAAAAAGGATTTGAGAATATATCAGATCACCCAATTTGCAAAGGATTATAAGAGAAAACGGCTATTTTTCGCTAATGATACTAACGTGCTCGTGCTATTGATGAAAACTTTAAGATTGATACACATTAATTAAAAAGTTGAGCGAAGTTTTTTTCGACAAAAATAAAGATATTGCCGGTGGGAAAACCTCATAAACTCAGATTAGCCATTAATAAATCTATTTATCTGTGGAAAAAAAAACAAATTTTTATTTACGAGTGTTGAAAACTAAACCATTTAAACATAAAGTATTACATAGCAATTATTTTTTTCACTCGAGGAGAATTAAGAAAATTTGACTTCCAAAGAATAGCGATAATAATGTAAATAAGCAAATAGCATCTTATTAACATTGGAAACAAACGCAATTGTTAAAAAAAAACAATTAAATGATATAAACACAGAACCGAAAGAATTTACAGATAATTGCTAAAAAATATTAAGGAAATTTAATGTCCTTTATGGCAAGAAATAATTAATAATAGTGCCGTAAATAACGAAGCATTTTGTTTCTGCTTCAAAAAAATCTACTTTTTAAAAGAAGTTGCTCTTTATGTAATTAACATACTGGGACCAGGTAAGCGGAATAATTAAGTTTTTAAGTCTACAGGTGGATTCAAAACATTTGTTAGAGTCTTTTGGATCTTAGTATTGAAATTATTTAATTTTTTAATGATATAAAAGTAATAATAATATCCAAGAGGTTTGGTTTATAAGGCTGTGAATGAATAATTATTTTTAATTAAAAAAATCAAATCGATTTTGTTTTGACATAGAATGCTGATTGAAAAATATTGAAATAATGGAAATTTTCTGTGTAAAATACGAAAATGAAACAAATTGTTCTTCATGATATTGGCTGGAAAGCTAGGAATGGAAAAAAGATAAAGGGATGGCTTAACCCTTTTGAGGGAGAAAAAAAGAAATTTATTATGCATTTCTCAAAAAATTAATTTGATTTTAATTATAACTTTTTGTGGGGAACGCGGGGGGGGGGGGAATCTTAAATTATGACTACTGTATGGAATTGATCGTTAGCTTGAATTTTTGTGATCACAACAAAACTGAATTTATAAATTACATGTTTATAAATATGAAGAAACTTGATGAGATATAAACAATTCAACTAATACATAACGCACAAACGATAGTCTTTAAGACACTTCTTATCTTGCTGATGCTAGTGTTTTTCTTTAAATAATAAAAAGTGAAAAATAATTTATCTACGTCAATTAAAAACATGAACTCGCCTCAAACAGACTAAACTGATGTGAACACACCACTTTTGCTTATTTGTCAAGGTCATGGTCCATGAAAAAAAAAAATTGGAAAAACAACAAATTCGGAATAGCAAAAGTCTAAATGCGCCCGAGTTTGCAAGACATTGTATACATAATATGTGCTGTAACTTAAAATAAACAAATGTATTTTTCAAAAAAAAAATTTGCAACTCGCCCATCTAAAAAAATTTATTCAGGCTATGTAAACTATATATATATACGGCCAATTAGAATTATTAACACCATCAGTTTTCTCTCTCAAGATATTCAGTAGACAGATGTCAGAATTATTATAGTCTCAATTTCTCTCTTCCACCTCCAGGTGTTAACGTTATCATATATACCTATAGAGAAATATATTTTCTTGCTCTGTGAGGATTTCTTTAAAGAGGTCGGGAAACTAATTCATGTTAATGCTGTGCAGTTCAGGCCAACCCTTCAAAAGAAGTGATCCTCTAACCAGTTTAATGAAAAGAAATTAGCAGTTAAGACAATGTATTAAGCATTAAATTTGTAAATTTTAAAAAAAAATAATTAAAAATATTTCATGAAAAAAAAATTTTTTTTTGAGAGAGAAACTTTAATTTACTTGAGCAAGTAAAAGTGCACACTTTTTATTTTCACTCTCGTTACTTTTAACGAAAGCAAAAGAATTGCCATGTATGGTATTGTTGCTATAGGGATTTTCAGAACTGCCGAAAAGGACAAGTATAGGAAAGAATTCCCTGATTTTGATTAATTTTGACTATCATGAGCAGAAATTGAATAATAGCATTATGCAAAAGGAATTTAATTATTCTTAATTTCGATGAGATGAGGCTTTAAAAATCCTTTTTTCTTAATCTAGTAGCAAAATAGAATTTCAGCCAATTCTCAAAATAGATTTGCTAACAAATATTGTGTGTGATTTTGTAAAGTTAATAAATACCAAGTTAGGGATTATTTTCTATTTTTACTTTACCTCTTACGAAGAACGGGTATTGAACAAGCATTTTTAAAATTAATATAAATTTCAATTGGTAAGTATTTAAGTTACTTTAAATATTTTCATGAAAATAGATTTGTAATTGTATTCAAATTAATTCTTAGAAATTTGATACCAATCCCTACTAAATAGACTGAATCGAATGCATCTAAGAATTCGATATATTTCCAAATTAGATGTAGAAGAAGATACAAATAATATCGACCTATTATATACGTATGTACCTCGTTTTCAAGTATTCAATGAATCTAACTTGTTATTCTGATGAAAGAACTCTAATTCCAATTATGGGCTTCAGCATGTAGTTTTATTTTATTTAAAGAGTAGGAGCAATCTCTAATAAACAGCACTCTAGACAACTAGTTTTTTTTTATTCACTTATATAAAATGTTAAAAAGATGTTTATTTGAGGGTATTCTGGCATCCTGTAATTCTCCGTTTGAAGGGGAAGTTAATTCCGACTTTTTTGTAAAATTCTCAAAAATATGTCGTCAAGGGAAGTTCAAATATATAGTTAAACGGTAGTAAGAGGAAAATCTATTTTCCCTTTCGGGTAGTTTTTCCCGATTCTGTCCCCTGTATAAAATCCCTCTATACCCTTCCCTCACAAACGCACCCCTGGAGAACACCCGTGCCCACAGATGCACCATCATTAATTATCTGTTGGGTCAACTTTCACTTGGGTGAAATTTCATACATACGAAAGGTATGTACTTAGTCATATAGTACGATGACCACAAAACAGGCTGTAGATTTAATAATGAAATAAGAGTTCTTTTTTTAATTAACATTTTTGACAAGTTATCATTTTGATGAGCTAATATTTCTGACAATTCTTAAAACATGAATTAGGAATCATGACAACGAATTTAAGGTGAAAATGTAGCTTTTGTTCAAGTTAAAATTTTTAACTGAGATTCTACAAAATAGCACATGTAAAACTGCATAATATGGTAAAAAAAATAAAAAAATGTTTAAGTGATTTTCAATGTAATAAATTTATAAAATTATTTATAGATTCGATAATAAATTTAAAGAACTGCTTATTTCATTTGTTTGAATATAAAATAAAGCCTTTTAAATAAGTATTAGTTAGATCCAATCTTTTATTATTCATAATTGCTTAGTTACTCTTACTCTTATTTATAATTTTATTTGCAATTCCAGAAGCATATTTGTTGGACAGTGCTTAATAAATTTTGGAAACACATGAAATAAACAACTGTCAAGCATATTTTACATAACATTTATTGTATTGGCTCAACATAACATTTATGATACATTTGAATTTACATATACACTTTATTTATACTTTAAGAGTTAAAGTAAACATCTCTGAGTTTCACATACATATTTGAATATTAAGAGTTTAAAATTTATATCAAGCATTAAAATATTTAAAAAAAAGTATGATGTAGTAAGAAAAGTGTGATGACAAAATAAATACAATATTTAAACCATTCATTAAGTAATTTTCCTATTGATTTATTTACAATTACCGGAAATACTGGTTAAAATAAAAAAATAAAAATACAAAACTGAAAACTAAATTTTACCTAACAGATGCTTTTCATGCTCTGCTCTAAGGCATCGGGATAAAATTACCTAATTCGACCACAATTACTACGAAACAGCATGGTAATAAAATCTATTTTTATTGTTGGTTTTACCGAAAGTCATTGCCAAAGCAAACCTGTAAAAAATACCGGACTGCATGGTGTTTCGAAAGAGCTAGAATATTACATTTCACCGTAATCTGCTGATTTTGAGGACATATTTCTTCCTTGAATAAACTTTCAAGATGCCATAAAAACACTAAATATTTATCTACGTTTAAAATACGTATACTATTTATCTACGATTTTAATAAATCTACTGTTCTACGCCACTGTTCTACGGTTGCAGCTAAAGTTTAAAAGAAATAGAAAATTACAAGGTATTTAATTTAATGGTAACTTAAAAGTAAATTTGAGGAAATATTCTACCTTGTATGCATAAATAAATTTCGATTAAAAATAGTTTAAATGGCTTAAAATATCAAACTAAAAAAATGTTACGTGGAATAAAATATATGATAGTTTCTAAATATAAAAGCTGCTATATCACAAAAAATTGTAAAGTATTTTTTTATCTGAATTTTTCTGTAAAGGAAAAAAACAAAGTATAACACCATAATTAGGATTTAAATAATACCTTGATACATAAATACCCTTGAATACGTTAATAAGAGTTAAATACATTAGCAGATACATTAATTACATACATTAATAATTTATTAGATACATTAATTAGAATTAAAAACAATAATTATCCTTGAAAATAAAAAAAAAGTAAGATACCCTCCCCCATAAAAAGAGAGTTCGGGTATAAAAGCGTCTGTTCGGGACATAAGTTTTTATTAATATGCAACATACATACGGATCTTTTCGTACTATAACTCAATCTTAATGGATCTAGGTTCCAACTCCATTATGTTAATTAACTACTGCAGAAGCTGAGAAATCAGACACAGAAGGTAATTTCTTTGATTAAGCGACGTTTCTGATCTTCAAAATCCGATCACATTTATTGTATTGTTAGTAGATATTGTATCTACTATCAACTTGCTACATCTGCTTATTTATCGTAGTTTCAAGAAAAAAAACTTCGGGTCTGGTAACAAAACTCTGGGCGTTTCATCAAGGACACAAATGATGAGAAAAATGAAAAGTTGTATAACAGACAGTCACTTGTTGTGAAAGAACATTCTATTCCTTAGCCCCTAAAAGAAAGCAAACATATAAAGGAATATTAAGAAATGTGATCAAAAATTTATAGGAATGTGAAATACGAAAAAAATCCTATAGTTGGAAAACTTAGAGACAATTGCCATTAAGCAAGAGAATATGTTATTAATAATTGTAAATAAACCAAGTGGTTTTCTACGAAGAAGTGAGGATCTTTAAGTAAGCAAAAATAAAAATAATATTTTTAAGAAGAAAAAAAAAAAGAAAATAACATTAAAACTGTGTGCTTTGCTTAAAAAATATTGGAGATATGGTTAAATACTAAAAAATTGAAATTACTTTTTATTTACCAAAACATTTCATAGCTCTTTCGACTAAACTATCGGAAACATAACTTCCAGATTTCGAATACCCATATTTCCCCATATTTTGTATGTAGAATGCCAAAAATCTGTCGAAAGAGAAGTATGATTATTTAGAGATCGAACAGTTTTTGTGCCTGATTTTAAAGCTTGTTTAATAGTTAGCTCTAACTAATTCGGGTATTTGATGTTATCTCAATGTGATCAACGTATCTCAAATGTTTTTTTTGTGCTATTAAATGAATAACATCATAATACAAATTTATTTGGATCCATCTAGTTCGTAGGAGAAGTTTGAAAAACTAAATCAAGTGTCCATTTTCTTAAATACCCATATTTTGAGTAACTTTATGAACTCGCATTTTTGAACTATGTGCATAAAAAAAGCCCTCCTACGAAATATTAACTGAATAAAACGGAAAATTTGTGTAAAGAAAAATATTTTTTTAAAAGTTTCATCCATTATTTAATATGAATTTTTCTCTTCAAATTCAAATCATTTCTGAATTTAAGCTTCCATAAAGCATAATTATAAACATAATAGAATTATTAAAAAAAAAATTGGTGGTAATACGGTCTCTTCAGGACACGCACAAGCCTTTACGACAGCAGCGGAGACATTTTAAATTAAAGAATATTTATCCTAAGATAAAAATTTTTTATTCAATTTGCCTAGAAAAAACTTAAAATAAGAATTATGCAATTATAATTAAACTTAAGATTAAAAAAGAAAAGCGGAAAAATGATTACCGATATTAGATTGTGTAATCTTACAGTTAACAAAAGCTTCGGTGAAGAAGAGATGTATTGAACGTGCTTTTAGTTTTATCCTATCAGTATTTATTAGTAAAAAAATATAAATAGCAAAATTCATTTCAATGCTGCCCTCTATGAAAAAAACTATTTGAGAATAAGAATAATAGGAAAATTTAAGCAACAAAATCCATAATGGGAAAAGAAGTAAAAAACACCATTAAAATTTTTTTTTAAATGTAAAGTTATTCAAACATTTAAAAAGAAACATTCAAATTTTTACCAGAACTGATGAATGCTGGTAATACTCATAAACTTAAATGTTATGAAAGTGTGTATGAATGAAGTCAGTTTTATTATAAACTTAAAATTTTACTCCATCAATAGTTGTTTTGAAGTAATACTTTAATGCATTTTATAGAAGTAAAATTAAAAAATAGGTTTTTACAAATCAAGTTTTTCTTTTTAAATTGTGTAAAAATTACACTGAAAGTCTGGATAATAAAAAAAAATTTTTTTTTAGTTTTTTTTAAAAGTAATTATGAAATGGTCTTTGACCTATAAACTGTCAACCCCCCTGATGAATGCTGGTAATACTCTTCAACTTAACTGTTATGAAAGTATGTATGAATGAAGTCTATAAAAGGCTTTCTAATTGTGTATGTAGGCTCCGACTTATGAACAGTCACCCTATGAAAGAAGGAAAACTCAAAATATATTTTATTCCTAGTTTACGTTCCTATGTAGCCCACTGCAAATATTTAAAATTTGAACGCTTCTTTTTAAATGTTTGAATAACTTTACATTTAAAAAAAAATTTTAATGGTGTTTTTTACTTCTTTTCCCATTATGGATTTTGTTGCTTAAATTTTCCTATTATTCTTATTCTCAAAGAGTTTTTTTCATAGAGGGCATCAGGGGGGTTGCCAGTTTATAGGTCAAAGCCCATTTCATATATACTTTTAAAAAAAACTAAAAAAAAAAAAAAAAAAACTGTTTATTATTCAGACTTTCAGTGTAATTTTTACACAATTTAAAAAGAAAAACTTGATTTGTAAAAACCTATTTTTTAATTTTACTCCTATAAAATGCATTAAAGTATTACTTTAAAACAACGATTGATAGAATAAAATTTTAAGTTTATAATAAAGCTGACAAAGTGCATTTGTATTATAATGACGTCTCTTATTTCGAAATTATGCTTTATGAAAGCTTAATTTCAGAAACAATGTAAATATTTCAAGCAAAAAAATACATATTAAATAATGAGTAAAACTTTAAAAAAATGGTTTATAATTTTTTTCCAAGGTATTCACTTAATATTTTATCGGAGATCTTTTTCTCTGCACTCAGCTCAAAATGTGTGTTAAGGAAAATGGAAACAGCTTAGAATGGTGTTCTTAAAGTGACTCAAAATATGGGTATTTAACAAAACGATTCTATGATTTAGTTTTTTAAACTTCTATTAATTTCTCTTAAGATTAAACTAATGCATCCAAATAAATTCATTATGTGACGTTATTTATTTCTTCATATTTTTAGCTTACAAAATATTGGATAAGGTGACCTCAAATACTCAAATTTCAAAAAAATTAAACAAACTACAGAATTCGGTACAAAAACCGTTCCGTTTTTAAATAAACATACTTCTTTTTCGACAGATTATAATTTTTTACAATCAATATAAGGGGAGGAGGAACGGAAATTATGCTCCCAATAGTTTAGTCAAAGGAAAAATCAAAAGTTTCGGTACCTTAAAAATAATATAGATTTTTTAGTACTTTCCCGTATCTATAATATTTTTTTTTTAGTGCGGCACATATTTATAATGTTAGTTTCATGTTTTTTTTACGTTTAAAAAGAAATTTTTTCATATGAATTTATTTTTTCTGAATTAAAGATGCCCACTTCCTCATTGAAGAAATATCTTGGTCTATTTACAATTATTAATAACATATTCTCATGTGTTATGACAATTTAAGCGTTTCAATATTGTAACTTAACAAATTCTTTTTCTAAGCTTTTCAATTATAGGATATTTTTTTCATATTTAAGAAACTGGACATTTGATTTCACTTCTTAAACTTATTTAGCAAAACATGTTTTGTTTTGTTTAAGAATAAACTAATGGATCCAAATAATTTTGTAATGTGATGTCGTTCATTTGCCTAAATCACTAAAAGGATATATTTATTGATTAGGCTTTATGAAAAGTAAACAATTGTTTTTATGAGGCTCGTACGTCTCCTATAAATATATATCAATGATATGAAATTTAAAATGACGAAATTATTTTTTAAAAAATCAATTGATCAATGATAAAAAATCAATCAATCAATGATATGAAATTTAAAATGACGAAATTATTTTTTAAAAAATCAATTGAAGACTTGTAATGGAAAATGACCTAAGTCTAAGGAAAAGCTCTCCAACAATCTGATTTATTTGAATGAAATAGAAAGAAAATAATACGCAATCCAAATGTTTTATACAATTACTTAAAAAAATTAATTTGACTTTTATAAACAGTAGGTCAACTAAAGTCTAATTTTCAAAATAGTTGAAGTTTATGAAAAGCATTTAAAGAAGATAAAATAAAGGGTAATTTTGCTTTAAAAGAAGTAATATGAGGGTCAAATGCTAACTTTCTTATATATAATTATTAATCATACTTTTAAAGATGGCTTTACCTTAAATTTCTTAAATTGTTTCTTAAAATTACTACTTTAAATTTTACTAAACACAGCAAAATTTATTCTTTTACTTCCTATGATTTTCTGGATCTCTTTTAATAGCATTCCACTTTTTAAATTTAAAGATATTACTTTCGATCGTTATTATGATTATAATGCTTTTAAAATTATTCTACATTGTAATTGTGATTTTTGGGAAATTTATAATAATCTATACTTATTCAATAATTATCCTTAAAAGGGAAATGTTTTTTTTAAAATAGATGGCCTACCATAAGGAGCAAAACTGACTAAATTATTTTTACATTATCATGAAAAAAAAATATGCTCCAAATATTAAATGTGTATCAAGATAAACAAATAAAAGTAAAGTAATAATTTAAGAGAACGATGATAACATTTTCTAACAAATCAATAGATTTCCATATTAAAAAAAAACTGAATTTAAACATTTACTAAGACGGACACAAGTTAAACATTGCTACAAATTAATTATTTTATATGTAGTGAAGGAATCATAATTTCTTTATTCTACCGTATTTTCTGTATAATAACTTTTTTTCTCTAAATTTGACAGTTAAAAGGCAGATAACTATTGAATCCCAAGTATATATATATATATGAAAAAAACTCTCTCTCTCTATATATATATATATAAATGGTATTTTTAATTAAGGTCCGTTTTGTTGTGTACACCAATAGGTGTCACTTGCATCGCAACGAGTAGGCATGTCTCGGCATAGGAGCATAGCTTATTGAGGGCTTTTTTTTTAAATAAGGAGACCGTTTGAAAATAAAAACCAAATGAAAGAAAATTTTCATGAAGCAAATTTAGTTTTCGATTCTACATACGTTTCTCTTGTGGTAAAAAAAAATAAATAAAACACATTAATTAACTAGAAAGTTTTAATTACATTACCACGTGCAAATATACATTTATCAAAAAATTAATCCTGTAATATAAACTCAAAACGTGGTAAATATTTAAATTTCGCAACTGATAACGTATCCCTAAAAGAAGTATCAATTGGCAATATACACTTATGAATATTGTGATATAAAAAATACCATGTGTTTAAAGCAGTCCATGTGTTTAACGCATAGGCGAGTTTGATTTCATATTCCTGCTTGCCATCGACGAATTTTATTATTAGTTTAAAAATCGTCAAGTGTAAAGAAATACCACCTAACAATCGTCGAATTAGCGAAGTAAGTAATATTATCTCTTCTTTTATTTCCTTATGTATCTATATATTGTTTTGTATGTTGACAGCACATGGTATTTATTTATATCACAATGTAAAATATCTATATATCTATATCTATCTATCTATCTATATATATATATATATATATATATATATA